TAGGCTCTGTTCTTTATGCATTATGTGGCATAAAACATATTGCATGATAATTTCTTTTCTATTTGTAATCAACATTTTGAATACCCTCCTCAATATCCTTCCAAGCTTCTCTTCTCTTTCCATTGCACTTTTATGCGATTTCCCCCTATTTGGTTCATTGTTTAGCTCAGGTTCAGGTTTAGTTTACCTTGACACTGAACGGCATTGAGCTGCAGCCGCTAAATTTCCCTGTATCTTTGTGCGCATGCCCAAAACAGTTCCCAGTATTTTCTTACAAGCTGCATTCTTTGCAATTTCATTTCGAGTCCATTTCCCAGTCAAGTTTTTTCCATTGAACAGTGAAGTTTTCTTCAACGCAATTTTCATTTTGTCTGTCTGATTTTTCTTTTTTATTAATTGGCATTAATTGATAACAAAATGTGATAGTTGCCTGGGAATAACTAACAGCCAGACAGACAGGTGTGCGCCAGACTCGAGCTCAGCTATTTTACCTTTCATTCATAAAATGTGGAAAAGGTTCTATAACAACAATTGTGAAAATCGATACAAGTAACGCGTAGTAAAGGGCGGAGTTTCACGGGCTTACCTAGCCACGGCAACGACAACTATAGACACAAATATATGAAGTTGGAATTACCACTAAAATTTCAGTTATTATTACGACTGATGTTTTCAACTAAAGTCAAACTAAGAAATCCATTTTTTTTAAATAAATTAAATAAAACATATTTTTATAAATATGTTCGATGATTAAGAAATTTTTAAAATTATTATTATTACAAATTATTAAAAATATGTCCGATTGTTAAAAATTTCGTCTTCTGTTTTCTCGGGGGCTTGAACCCCAAAATTTGTGCTCTGTGTGGCGAATTAACCTTTCAATTAATATTTTTACGATAAGCATTTGGGAAGGTCCGTATTCACACATAAGTACTCCGTACTCCTCCTTTACGAGAGCCATATCTGGTTGAAAAAGTTCCCAAGAAGAATTCCCATAACGAATATTGTAAAACCTAAAATATATATATTTATTCCAATGGGTCGTTCAACTGGACTGTTTGTTTTTATGCCAAGCCCAAGCCCTAAATGCACTCCCTAAATCCAAGCCAAGAGCCCCACCCGAAACGCTTCCCATTCAAAGTACTTCTCTAATTCTCTTCTCCCTTCTCCAATTGCAGGTCATTACGCCGCAGCGGCACGGTGATGTGTACATCTACAACAGCTCGCCGGGTACATTGTGTGGAGCGCCGCGTTCACCGCATCCTCAGCAGATTTACGGCAACCAAGGCATCTATCAGAACCTCGGCATGATGATGGGCACACCGAATGGCAATGGCGGCAGCGAGTTCGAGACCTACGACATACCCAAGCCGGCCACGCCCGTGCCCCTCAATTATGACGGTCCGGGCAGGCAGGGTGTGCGTACGCCCACAACGGGCTCGGCGCTGGGCGCCCGATTTGATTCGCTCAAGAGCGTGGGCGCTTCCATGTCCATTGAGGAGGAGTCTTACGATGTGCCACGCCCACTGTTGCAACAGCAGCAGCAGCAGCCGCACACGCTAACGCCCAGCAGTTCTGCATCCTCGCTGCTGACCAGCGACAGCTTGTCGCTGAGCTTCTCCAGCTCCAATCGCAGCTCGCTGGCCAACATGCCGGACTATGATATACCACGCCGTAACCCGTTGCCCGTGCGGCCACATCAGCGGCCGCATGCCGCCAGCTACGACTTTCCGCTGCTGCCGCCGCTGCAGGAGCAGGATCAGCAGCAGCAACAGCAGCAGCAGCGCATGTCGACCCACCTGCCCACCAATGGCAGCCAAGCGCTGGGCGGCACCAAAGAGCTGCCGCTGGAGCTGAACTCGGCGCTGGACACGCTGGCCAAGCTGCAGTCGCAGACGACCCAGGCCATAACGCGTCTGCTCAGCTTTGTGGTGCCGCATTGGCGCACCCGGGCACAGCTGGAGCCGCACATTATGGAACTGCGGCTGGCTGCACTGCGTCTGCGCACCGCGCTGCACGATCTGGCGGAGTTTGGCGAGGGAGCGCTGGGCAATGCGCAGCGTTCCGAGGACAGGAATTTGGCCCTAAAGCTGCGGCCCTTAGTGCGTGCACTGCGCGACGCCAACAAGCTCATCCAGGACTCCTCGGAGGCGTTGGATGCACAGGGCGGCGGCTGGTCCGTGGAGCAGCTGGCGCGCAGCGATGAGAAACACGGCTGCCGGCCACCTGATAGTCTGGATCAGCTGATGGCCTGCGCCCAGACACTCACCGAGGATGTGCGCTCCACGACCAGCTTCATCCAGGGCAATGCCTCGCTGCTGTTCAAGCGGCAGCTGCCCGCGGAGCAGCCCAGTTCACAGAATGGTGGCAGTCGCGGCAGCGCCGAGTGGCTGGAGGACTACGACTATGTGGCCTTCGAGTCCAAGGATGCGGCTGCCAAAAAGAATCAGGCGCTACGAGATGCCATACCCGCCGGCCTCAAGACCCAGTTCGATTGTGCGCTCAAGATCGCCGAGTGCACGGCCATGGGCACTTCGGTGTCAACGGCGGTGCCCACCACGCCCACAGCCGCGCCCAACAAGTCGCCGGAGATGACGGACAAGGATAAGAAGGTGGTGCGCTACTATGCCCAGCAGATCACCACGCATATGGGCAACCTACTGCAGGCGATCGATTCGTTCCTGGAGACGGTGGAGAAGAATCAGCCGCCAAAGTTTTTTATTGCCTACGGCAAGTTTGTTGTGGTCAGTGCCCATAATCTGGTCAGCATTGGTGACGATGTGCATCGCAATATCTCGAAGGAGGCGCTGCGCGAGAAGATACTGCATTGCACCAATGCCCTCTCCGACGCCCTCAAGACCTGTGTGCTCAAGTCCAAGAAGGCGGCGGCCCATTTCCCCAGCGGCAGTGCCGTCCAAGAAATGGTCGATTCCGTGGTGCACATCAATAATCTGGCGCGTGATCTCAAGACAGTGATGCTGCAGGCCGTTAAATTGTCCGCCGGAGATGGCGCCTGAATTGTTAGCTGTTTCAAGGTGACGACGATCCTAAGCAGACAGTATTTTGGAGCGATTAGCGATCGCGTAGGCTTCCAAGGTCTTCCAGGCAGGCAGCTGGCAATGTTCCTTACTCTGGTAACCACGCTTTGACTATGCAATAAACCCAACAGCATACACATATGCCAATTGGCATATCCCCGCACGCATCGATCCTCGAGATATATATATGAATACATATATCATTTGCATTGTGATATATGCACATCCCCCGATATCATACATATGTATATGTGTACAAGGATCACGCATATGTATATACAATTGCAATAAATATGCATAATAATTACGATTACGATTACGATTACGATTACGATTACCATTACGATTACGATAACATTTAGTTTATATTTATTGTTTTTGAGGTTAAGTATCTGTAAATAGCACTCCTTTATCCTTAAATCTAGGTTTCCTTTTGTACATTTGTATTTCAAAATGCGAGACCCGCAAAATTATGTTGTATCAGCAAAGCATTTCAGCAGATAATATTATGTATGTAGTATATCGTAGAAATAGCTTTAACGCTTTCTATACCCATAACTAATAATAATACGCAAACCTAGCATGTAGCGGAAAACACATACATATACACATACATATATACATACATAGTCAAAATCTGTAAGATTTGCAAAAAACATTTTCGTTTGCGCAAGGCAATAGTCAGCAATATACAAGAAACATAATATAATAATTAGCCATACCATACTGTATGTTACAAATAAATATTATTACGCGATTCAACGCAAGCGCAGACTATAAATGAATAGTAATAAAATAATATATATTCAAAAAATTGTCATTTTTGTTGTTGCAAACTGATTAAGAATTTTGCAAGTAGTTCTAGGTATTTAAATTTAAATTATATTTTAACGGTAGTCACACGTACGATAAGTATCGCTATCGCTCGATAATATATACGTCAGCCTTGCGCTCCAAATATCGATTACACAATGTGAGCTTCACACATTGCACATAACCTTTGACCAAATCAATGTGTTGTGTCTGACGGAAACTCTAGACGAAATGTCTTAATTCAATTACTATTTCAAACATACTCAAATTGGTTGCTTTTCTACAAGATCTTTTGTGGCGGCAAACGATAAATGCTTCTTCTTCTATTCTGGTGAGTAGCTCATTTATTGGCGCCAATCTCTAAAATGTCGAAATTTCATAGATCTGTATAATGATCAAGAAGTTCAGCAGAAGGTGCAAGCAACATGCGTCACGGAGATCAAGACAAAAATATCTGTTATATAATATTTGTTGATTCCGAGTGGATGACCATACATGACATATGTAAGTGGACCCAATGCCATCGCTGCGGCCTGAAACGATGCTATAAGGGAGCGCACAAGATCCAAAAAATAAAATAAACAAACGGTTTATATATATAACCATAAAATGGATTGTGCTTTATTAATCAAAAGTACTCAACTTGTGCAGTATACAAATATCAAGTTACGGCTAATGGTATGTTTAATTTTTAATACATGTTAATATATTAAATGTATACTTATATCTTGGATACTATCCAAAGACAATTCCTTATTTATAATTAGTCTTACCAACTTATTAGTATTATTTAATTAATTAAGTAATTAGGAATAGGTTCTTCGTATTTTAATTCAAATTTCGTAAAAAAGTAACTGCACGATTAGTATCGATAGCTTTCGACAATAAGCAGGCCAGCGTTGCGCTGCACATATCGATAGTATTCATCGTGGCACACGTTAAGCACACTCTTTTCGTTCTGCCCACTGCGCAATTGGAAACTCGTCTGCTAAAACATAATAATAAATAAATAAAATATAAGTACATTACGCAAATTTGGCAGACTCACCAAATTTAAATTGCCATTTTGAGCAAAACATTTGAATGGGTTGTTTAATTATTGGCGGCAACCAATAACTTCTTCTTCTTCTATTTTTGCCATTAACATATTTAGTTGCGCAGAACGCTCTAAACTGTTGATTACAGTTTTGCTCAAAGATAAAGAACACAAGCGCTGCTCTAAAAGTCAGACGAAAGAAATCATGCTGCAATGTGTTTGTTGCAAATGCGGAGCGCTCGATTGCAACGCAGGTTCGACTTTGTGCCTCGCCTTCGCGGGAAGACATCAAGATCATTGTTTTTGTTGTGCGCAGCCACCTCGGATGAAATGTATCCACTGTAATATGTGGCGTGAGTTATCGCCAATGGAGGCGCACGGGCCCTGTGTTGGCGGTTCTTTGCATGTATTTGTCTATTCGGAGCCATGGCCGCCGTTCCCCGATAATAGCCCATTATCGCCGCTGCGCGCTATGCCAAGCACGGACGGCGATACGGAGCAAATATATAGAGCCCCCGACTCACCAGCACAGTCAAAGGAAAGCCTTAACGACATCGAGCGCGAACCGTATTCAGTTGCAGACGACCACATCGACAGCCCGGTGTCTGTCATAGATCTGGCCGACGACGATCAAGAGGGGCAGCAGGACGCGGATACAATGTCCGACGTGGATATCAAGCCAAAGCTATCAGTGAAATGCCAGTGGGTGAACATATCCGATATACAGAAGTGGACAAATTGCCAGCGCTGCGGCCTGGTGCGAATCCAAAAGAAGGGCTGGCTGCGTCATGTGCAATCGTGCGCACAAGACCCGAAATACAGATCGAATAAATTGTTTATACACCTCCACACAAAGGCCTGGTGCGGCATGCTGGTGCGAGATATTTACTGGGACAAGCACACTCATCCCGAGAATGGGACATGTGATATGTGCCGTCTAAGGTTCAGATCTGCAAATGTTATGTTCTATTTGTTTTTTAATCTATTTGATTCTATTGCAGCCGCATGAATAATGTACCTTTGCCATATCAACCAAAGCCACCGCCACGCAAGAACGAGATCACTTTGGAGAGAAATCGACGATCTCGTATGATAATTAGCCGTAGGAAACGTAGACAAACAATTGCCTTAGATACGGTTATACACAATGCAGGCGGCACGGACTCCATGCAAATTGTTGACTGCTCTTCGCTACGTCAAATCTAAGGCTCGTTCTAAGCAAGACAAAAAGTAGCACCATTATTATGTTTACTTTACTTTAGCTATGTATGTATAAGTATAACGCTTTATTGACCAAAAGTGCATTACATGTGTATCCAAAGGATTAAAATATCCCAGTTAGACGACTGGTGTGTCAGGAAATTCATAAGAAGTATAACAAATATATCCAAGTATATCCGAATTTTACGCATCCTTGGCACATCGAAACCCTAAATTGCTAGCCGAACTGTCTTCGGTATTTTGGGAACGCGCTGCGCAACGATAGCGATAGCAATAGGATTTGTGACACAAATAGGAGCCGCCCTTTTTGACGCGATTCGGGCTCTCGCTGGTGTCGCCGGCCTGCCACAGGTCTGACGTCCATTCCCAGACGTTGCCCACCATGTTGTATAGATCGTAGACGTTCTGACGAAACTCATCTACTGGACACGTAAATAGATAGCCATCCTGTTCGGTGTTGCCATCGGGAAACTCGCCCTGCCATATGTTGAGCCAGTGCTTATCCTGGGGCATCAGCTTGTTGCCCCAGGGAAATAGCTTACGCTGCTTGCCACCCCGGCAGGCCACCTCCCATTCCGCCTCGCTGGGCAATCGTTTGCCAGCCCACGCACAATAGGCAACAGCATCGCGCCAGGAAACATGCACAACCGGATGTTGCTCCAGACCTAGAAAGCAATGAGGATGCAGTCATATCGTGTTGTCATTTGGTGGCAAACGTACCTTGCAAATTGCTAGCGATGCCGTTTGGCCTACGCCAGTTAGCGCCGCTGACTTTGTACCACCAAAGCGCATTGGCCACGCGGTAATCCTCCAGCTCCGCCTGCTGTGCTGGCGACAACATTGTCTTGAACAGAAAACTATCGCCAAAGCGTTCCGCTTCAGTCGTATAGTTTGCGGCTTCAACGAATTTTGCAAAATTGGCATTGGATACTTCGAACTTGTCCAAGTAGAAGTCTTTGATCTTAACCAGACGCTCTGGAGCTTCTCCATCTGCCTGAAAATGCGGCTCATCCGTGCCGATATTCACGCTCCCGCCTGGTATAAGTGACATGCCTACAATCTCCGGTTCAGCCTCCGGATAGTAGTCGCGATAATGTTTATTTTTATTGCGCCCCTGCTGCTGGCACACCTGTTGCGCCGGCTGCTCCTCGGATTTAGTTTGAGCGGCATCCGGAGCATCCCTTTCCAATTTGTTGCAGCCGCAGTCGCCGTGGGCATTGTGGTAAAAAAACGCCAACAATAGAATTGCGGACTTCAATTGATTCATTTTGCTATTCTCGTAGCCGCAGTTGCGCAGCTGAGTGCCAGGGCTGCAATATACGGATTATATATTCGATGACAGTTCGATAACAATTCTCCCGCCAATTTTAATCATATTTGTATTTTTTATCGAAGTCAAAATTTAAATGCCAAATTAATCTACAGGTCCAAACACGAATCAAACATGAAGACGTATTTAGTTGTCTTAATGTTTTAAAAGTAGTCTATAAGTATTAACAAGCTTTACAAACTTACATTTTTGTCAGAATTGAATGAATCAAATCAACAATTGCGGAAAGGGTTTTGGAAACGACATACTTCCGCTCGTGCGAAAATCAAAACTTTTTTAAGGAACTTTTTAAATATTTCGGGTAAATATTGTCTGATTTTGAAATGTTAATTCTTACGGATTGAATTCTTTTTGAATTCTTACGGATCACTAATATCAATTGGCATTCAAACAAATTAAAAATCGATGGTAAGGACATAAAAATTGTCCTTATGGTGTGCGAGATATGGGTATTGTCTTTTTAAAGGACATTAAGTTCACTTTAAGGATCATTCTGATGTCATTTGGACAACATGTAGTCCTTGTCCTGATAACTTAGAACATGTATTAAGAAGGACGAAAATCCTTCAAGGAGCTCAGGAAAAGAGATTTTTGTCTCTAGAGATAAAAGACTGTAGATCAGCCGTGTCCTTGCCGATCATCCATGTCCATTTGCCAACCGTAAGTCCTAATCCTCCCAATTCACGGACGTAAAGGACGAAAGTCCTTTAGACAGCATAGATATGAGTACAATTCTTTCGTAATGTCCGATTTGGAAATTTTATACCATTTTATACTTGTAAGGATCAGTACTATCGATTGGCATCAAAAAAATAAAAATCTAAAATTTGATCAAAATCAACAAAATGGCAAGGGGTTACATCACGTTTTTTCTCAAATTCGGGGTCGGTTCGAAAATCAAAACATTTTTGATGATTTGTATTGAATATCTCGGGTAAATACTGACAGATTTTGAAATGTTATACCTTTTTGAATTCGTGGGGATCCCTACTATCAATCTGCATTCAAACATTTTAAAAATCGATTGGTTAAAAAAAGTGGTTGACCAAAAAACGATTTGTTTGTAAAGTCAACCTTTTTTGATGTTTTTTTTGAATATCTCGGCCAAATAATGTCCGATTTGAGAATTTTATACCATTATATACTCGTAAGGATCAGTACTATCGATTGGCATCAAAAAAATAAAAATCTAAAATTTGACCAAAATCAACAAAATGGCAAGGGGTTACATCACGTTTTTTCTCAAATTCGGGGTCGGTTCGAAAATCAAAACTTTTTTGATGATTTTTATTGAATATCTCGGGTAAATACTGACAGATTTTGAAATGTTATACCTTTTTGAATTCGTAGGGATCCCTACTATCAATCTGCATTCAAACATTTTAAAAATCGATTGGTTAAAAAAAGTATTTGACCAAAAACCGATTTGTTTGTAAAGTCAACCTTTTTTGATGATTTTTTGGAATATCTCGGCCAAATAATGTCCGATTTGGGAATTTTATACCATTTTATACTCGTAAGGATCAGTACTATCGATTGGCATCAAAAAAATAAAAATCTAAAATTTGACCAAAATCAACAAAATGGCAAGGGGTTACATCACGTTTTTTCTCAAATTCGGGGTCGGTTCGAAAATCAAAACTTTTTTGATGATTTTTGTTGAATATCTCGGGTAAATACTGACAGATTTTGAAATGTTATACCTTTTTGAATTCGTAGGGATCCCTACTATCAATCTGCATTCAAACATTTTAAAAATCGATTGGTTAAAAAAAGTAGTTGACCAAAAACCGATTTGTTTGTAAAGTCAACCTTTTTTGATGTTTTTTTTTGAATATCTCGGCCAAATATTGTCCGATTTGAGAATTTTATACCATTTTATACTCGTAAGGATCAGTACTATCGATTGGCATCAAAAAATAAAAATCTAAAATTTGACCAAAATCAACAAAATGGCAAGGGGTTACATCACGTTTTTTCTCAAATTCGGGGTCGGTTCGAAAATCAAAACTTTTTTGATGATTTTTATTGAATATCTCGGGTAAATACTGACAGATTTTGAAATGTTATACCTTTTTGAATTCGTAGGGATCCCTACTATCAATCTGCATTCAAACATTTTTAAAAACGATTGGTTAAAAAAAGTGGTTGACTAAAAACCGATTTGTTTGTAAAGTCAACCTTTTTTGATGTTTTTTTTGAATATCTCGGCCAAATAATGTCCGATTTGAGAATTTTATACCATTTTATACTCGTAAGGATCAGTACTATCGATTGGCATCAAAAAAATAAAAATCTAAAATTTGACCAAAATCAACAAAATGGCAAGGGGTTACATCACGTTTTTTCTCAAATTCGGGGTCGGTTCGAAAATCAAAACTCTTTTGATGATTTTTATTGAATATCTCGGGTAAATACTGACAGATTTTGAAATGTTATACCTTTTTGAATTCGTAGGGATCCCTACTATCAATCTGCATTCAAACATTTTTAAAAACGATTGGTTAAAAAAAGTGGTTGACCAAAAACCGATTTGTTTGTAAAGTCAACCTTTTTTGATGATTTTTTTGAATATCTCGGCCAAATAATGTCCGATTTGGGAATTTTATACCATTTTGGACTCGTTAGGATCAGTACTATCGATTGGCATCAAAAAAATAAAAATCTAAATTTTGACCAAAATCAACAAAATGGCAAGGGGTTACATCACGTTTTTTCTCAAATTCGGGGTCGGTTCGAAAATCAAAACTTTTTTGATGATTTTTATTGAATATCTCGGGTAAATACTGACAGATTTTGAAATGTTATACCTTTTTGAATTCGTAGGGATCCCTACTATCAATCTGCATTCAAACATTTTAAAAATCGATTGGTTAAAAAAAGTGGTTGACCAAAAACCGATTTGTTTGTAAAGTCAACCTTTTTTGATGTTTTTTTTGAATATCTCGGCCAAATAATGTCCGATTTGAGAATTTTATACCATTTTATACTCGTAAGGATCAGTACTATCGATTGGCATCAAAAAAATAAAAATCTAAAATTTGACCAAAATCAACAAAATGGCAAGGGGTTACATCACGTTTTTTCTCAAATTCGGGGTCGGTTCGAAAATCAAAACTTTTTTGATGATTTTTATTGAATATCTCGGGTAAATACTGACAGATTTTGAAATGTTATACCTTTTTGAATTCGTAGGGATCCCTACTATCAATCTGCATTCAAACATTTTAAAAATCGATTGGTTAAAAAAAGTGGTTGACCAAAAACCGATTTGTTTGTAAAGTCAACCTTTTTTGATGTTTTTTTTGAATATCTCGGCCAAATAATGTCCGATTTGAGAATTTTATACCATTTTATACTCGTAAGGATCAGTACTATCGATTGGCATCAAAAAAATAAAAATCTAAAATTTGACCAAAATCAACAAAATGGCAAGGGGTTACATCACGTTTTTTCTCAAATTCGGGGTCGGTTCGAAAATCAAAACTTTTTTGATGATTTTTATTGAATATCTCGGGTAAATACTGACAGATTTTAAAATGTTATACCTTTTTGAATTCGTAGGGATCCCTACTATCAATCTGCATTCAAACATTTTAAAAATCGATTGGTTAAAAAAAGTGGTTGACCAAAAACCGATTTGTTTGTAAAGTCAACCTTTTTTGATGATTTTTTTGAATATCTCGGCCAAATAATGTCCGATTTGAGAATTTTATACCATTTTATACTCGTAAGGATCAGTACTATCGATTGGCATCAAAAAAATAAAAATCTAAAATTTGACCAAAATCAACAAAATGGCAAGGGGTTACATCACGTTTTTTCTCAAATTCGGGGTCGGTTCGAAAATC